AAATAAACCCAACATGTTTCTCTGATATTTATCCCAGGTTCAAATAAGTGCAAATCTTGCCTGAGAGAAATAATTTAGCACTTTTTGGAGATTTTCAAAGCAAAAACAGTTCTAATACTAGAATATACAATTTCCTTCCAGCCAATATAGAACTAACTTGGTAGATTTCCCAATGGAGAACTAGGAAATAAGTCATGTAAAATTGAAGATAATTAACTCAGTGTTTAAATGGCAAATACATGAACTACGTGTACTTTAGAGTTTCCACTAATCTTTTTCAGAATAAGATGGAATTTAAAAAGTTCAAGCCTCAGCTGGCCTAGAACTCAACTATGTAGACCAGGCTGGCCTCAGTCTGGCAGTGATCTGCTTGCCTCTGCCTCCTATGTGCACCACGGTGGCACCTGGCTCAAATTTTTATATTCTAAAGAAGGCATCAAGAATCAACATTGAGATTTGTTGACTAAATCCTGTACTTTCTAACCTAAAACATGTCTTAATTACAATAAAGTTGGCACAAGAAACCAGATTCTTTCACCACTCCCATATCCAGTTCCTCTCAATAGCAACAGCAAACACTTATGACGCACTTGACACCACGTGCATTGTACAGAATTTTGTTTTTGGTGTATTGGGGATCAAACCAAGGGTGTTCCGCATGCTTGGCAAGTACACAGCCACTGAGCTATACTTTTAACCCTATTTTTTAAATTAAATGGCGTCTTACTATTTTGTATTGTATCCACAATATTTCTCCCACAGATAGGTATTTTACATTATGATGGTTTTTCTAAACTGACAAACTCTAGAATTACAAGAGACGTGGGAAGACCTGCCTACTGCGAGGGGCACCATTCCTCTGGGCTGGGATCTAGACTGTTTAAAAAAGGAGAAAGTGAGCTGATCCATAGCATTCAGTGCACTCTTCTTCCTGACCGCAGAGGAAATGTGACCAGCTGCTTCATGCTCCTCTGTCTTGACTTTTCCATGATTCACTGGACCTTAAACTGCACACCCTTCCTTCCTTCTGTTGCTCTCCTGAGGGTATTTCTTAGTATATAAATAAATGATACATTACAGGTTATTCTGAGTAACAGATTTCTACAAGTGAAGTTACTAGGTCAAAATGCATTTTTTCTTAAGTATCTTAAAATTCTGCTAATCAGACCTATAAAAGTAGGCATTTATTTCCATTTTCTCCCTTTTGGGGCAGCACATTATAGTAGGAGTCAAAATCTGGAAGAGCAAATTCTCAATAATTTGTGTGCATGCATACATGTGAGCACACATGCCATGGCACATGTGTGGAGGTCAGATAGCAATTTGCAGGAGTTGGCTCTCTCCCACTTTGTGGGTTCCAGAAATCAAATCAGGTCATCAAGCTTAGTAGCAAGTGCCTTTACCCAATGAGCCATCTCACCAATCCTGGTTGAGCAAATTCTTGTTGAATTATCTCAACTACTCCTGGCCCCTTGTTCTTCTGTATAGCTCACATTCTCTAAGCTCTCTGTATGACTATCCTGTTGTCACACAGTCTGGCAAGTTTGTTTTTTTTTTTTTTTTTTTTCTTCCTACCCCTTGCCTCCCTTTCTCTAACCACCTTCCTTCCTTAATTGTGTAACAGAGTTGCCACAAAATGTTGATCATGTGATAAGCAGTGTCCATTCCAAATCTTAAAGGGATGTTTGTAACATTCCACCCCAGGTATTACTGTAGAATTGTTTTGGAGTCGACTGAAACTATATAAGAACAGAAATTGCCGGTTGTGGTGGCACATGCCGGTAGGATATGCTGAAGAACAGAAATATGTTTTAATGTTTATTATATGTGTTTGAGTGTTTTGCCTGCATGTATGTAGGTGCACCTGTGTTATGCCTGGAGAAGAGGGGGTTGGATCCCGTGCATCTGAAATTACAGATCATTGTTAGCCGCCATATGGGTGTTAGGAACTGAACCCAGGTCCTCTGCAAGAGCAGCAAGTGCTCTTAATGACTGAACTCCCTCTCCAGCCCCCAAAATACCTATTTAAAATGGGTTCTAAAAATCATGAACTTTACTACAAAAATAAATGGGGAACAAGTATGTCAGAATACAATTTAAAGTATAAATTTCCTATTTTATAACATCATCTTTAGCAACTTTTATTATGTATGTTATTCACCCAGGAAGAGATTTAGGTTGACAGAGTACTTAGCATTCATGAGACCAGGTTCACTCCCCTAGCACCACCAAAACATAAATTCTAAAAGGAAAATAGATTTAAATGTGTTTTGCATACTTAATTGGGAAAATCTGTTAAAAAGTACAAATTACCATTCAAAAGATTTGTTTCAATATATAAGTTTTAAAATTTCTCTTCAGAGAAGACTAAAAATAAAACTGGCATGGTATTAAAAACAAACAAACAAACAACAGGTATTTTGGCAAGGTACACACTAACAATCCCAATACTTGGGATGTTGACAGGAGGGCCACTGACTTTAAGATCATGCCTATCATCAAAACCTTGACTCAAAAGATAACAGCAAATGCAAAAGAAAACAGTGCTTTTAAAAAGTAGCCTGATTTGTATCCCCAAATGCTCTTCAGTGTGGGATCGTCCACTGCAGGGGGGGGGGGGGGCTTATGGGAGGGGACTAAAACAGGATCAAATTATATAAAATTTGCAGAAACTCAGTAAAAAGTTGTTGTTTTTTTTTTTAAGGGCCCAGAATTCTTATGGCAGTTATTTTTATGGACTATCAAATACATCCTTTTAAAAAAAATTTTTTTAGTCTTTTATTTTAGTGTATGAGTATATTACTTGCATGTGTAAGTGCACCCATGTGGTGCAGTGCCCTCAGAGGCCAGAAGAGGGTGTCAGATCTCCTGGAACAGGAGCTGTGAGTGCCATGTGAGTGCTGGGAACTGAACCTGGGTTCTCTCTACAAGAGCAGATAATGCTCCTAATCTCTGAGCCATCGCTCCAACCCCTTAAAATGAATTCAAAGGCTGTGTTATTTCCACTATGACCACAGTTTTGTTGTTCCATCTTCAACTGACCACTGACTACACAGTAGCTTATTGCTTTTGTTAGTAATTTAGGAAAGTTATCTGAAGAAGCACTTTGGTAAATGACAGAACATTACTCCTCTTATACAATGACTTGAAACATAAAGCCATCTCAAGATTCCCCCCCACCCCCCAAGACCAGGTCTCACTGGCTATCCTAGAACTCCATGTAGACCAGGCTGGCCTTAAACTCAGAGATTCACCTGTGACTGCCTCCTCAGTGCTGGGATTAAAAGTATGTACCACCACATCTGGCCACTCTCAAGGTTTTAAAGTAAATTCTGTGTTTGCAACCCTGGTACTATAAAATATATTTTAGGGGCTGGAGAAATGGCTCAGCAGTTAAGAGGACCCACTGACAAACTAGGGAATCCACCGCTCTCTTCTGCCCTCCACAGGCACTGCATGCACATGGTGCGCTTACATATATGTAGGCAAAATACTCATGCTAATAAAACACATAGAAAGTTTTTTAAATATCTAAAATACATTTTAATGACACTTGGTTTCATTGATTAAACTATAGCCTTTAAAAAATTCAAAGGAGGCCAGTTGTGGTGGCACATGCCTTTGCGAAAATTTCAGCCCAAGCAATAAGAGACAATCAAAAAAATAAAGCAATAAAACAAAAGGTTCGTAATTACTGCTGAATTTGGATGTGGCAATCCAGCTGTCAGAAAAGATCAAGGTACTCTCCGGCTAAGCTTTTTTCTCAATTATATAGTGGAAACTAACCAATTTTTGGTTACTGGTTGATCTAGTTCAGACTTAAAAATAACAAAACCAGTGTCCCAGGCGATCAATAGATATGCAATCAAAATCTTACCTAAAACAGCAAACCTAAGGTGAAAAATTAGTCAAAACGTGATCATTCTCATGGCACATCCACCAAAACCTTTCTCAGAAGTGCTGCTTGCCTCAGCTTAGAAGCATTTAACCCACACCCTGTTCATTTTTCTCCAATCTTGGTATTTCTTACAAATTAGCCAGCTGCAAGTTAAAATGTTTTCTTCCAAGTTGTTCTAATTCCTTGAAGAACATTCTCTATTCAAATTTCAATTCAGCATTTTACAGACACAAAAATTTCTATCTTATAGTCACTTAAGTATAATTTACATTTAGATTAGGGTATCAAATACCTAGTTTCTCTAGACATTAAAAAAAAATCCTACTGCCAGCCCCAAAAATGAATGATTAAATGCCCTTCATGACTGTTCATGTATCCCAAGAACTAGAATAGTAACTGGCACACTGTGGTCACTGAATATGTGCTAACAGCAAGAATCCCTGAATCACAGTTAAATTACTACATTAATTCATATCCCACAAATTAGTTTCATCAATAAACTCCAGAATTATTAAATTTTCAGACTCAGTTTCATGCAGAATATATTGTTAGGACATACAAATCTCACATAGTGTGTGTATATATTTTTAAATGGGTCAGTCTGTGTCCATGTTCCTATTTGCAATCTGACTCATTTCTTCCCACCAAACTTAGCATTTTATATAAATTAGATTTCACCCAAGGAAATTCAGTGATTACTCTGTAACTTGGAGAAATTGATTTCCCAACTCTGCTGTTTCTGTAATTCCAAACTCACTGAATTAAAGTACTAAATGTTATGCAGTACTGCACTTTTTCTTACTACTGTATTTCTCCCAATTAGGGACACATTCTCTCACACACCACTCTTCTGAGTCTGGTTATCATCTGCAATCGCTAGCACCTTAGCATTAAAAGGTTTAACTGCTGTCACCTTTTCTTCTATATGTATGTAAGACATCTTCATGTTTCACAAGCAATGCTGTCTTAGAAGACACAGAATAGTAGAAAGTATAATTCTAAGTTTCCATTTCAAAGTTGAAAATTTCCCTGTCCTCCCAGCCATGCTCCCAATATGGGTATATAACTGAAATGCTTAATTACAAAAACTATCCAAACACAGTTCAATTTTATATAAAATATTTAATTTTTAAAACACAGGCTATTCATGTCACATAAATATTTTCAATTTTAGGTTAGCTGCTTATAGCCAGCAGAAGTATCAAGTGTGACGATGAGAATAATTTAGATACTGCCACTTATAGGAAAGTCTGAAGCTCTAAGACTCACCATATGAAAATTTCAGAGACTTGAATACTGCAACTATTTTGCTAAATTTTAAAACATTTCTTTACTTCCTGTAATGTATTTTTATTATAAGTTGTTAGTATTCAATATTTAAATAAAAGCGAAATATTTTTTCTTCCATTAATTTTTTTCTTACCATCAACAAAAATAATACCATCAAAAAATAAAATGGTCAATTGACAACTCATTTATAGGAGTAAAATGGCAAATGATCTTCTTACCAATGTTTCCTGAATCATGTTTTTAAATGCAGGTTCACAAGTCAGATACAGGGCACGGGGTTAAACTGGCTTTCAATAACAATTCCATAACAATTGTTCCAATTTAAGATTCCAATTTAAAAAATGTTACTAGAACAGTTAACACAAAATTGTTAGTTGGCACACTCTCAATTTCCCAGAGTCTGTTTTTGAGTGCTGGTTATTTACCTTTGGTTCCTTTCCAGAATTAATATACTTTTGTGTCTCTGTATGGGCATAAGACATTAGTGAGATTGGACAACATTACACTTACTCTCTCTCTCTGTAGAAAGAAAAAATGTTAAAATGGCCTAACAGCATTGCTCTAATCTGGCAGAAGTCACAGTAAACTTTACAAAGGTGAGGAGGGAAGGGAAGAGGTTTTCTCTTTCTGCTTTTTCTTTTTGCTTCACTAAATTCAGTCTAGGCAGTTTTTTCTACTTTAAGTTTACTTTTTCTTAAAATAATTACATAACTTAAAATATGGCATTTTGCCACTCCTCCATCCATGAACTTTAACACACTTCTGTAAACTGCTATTAATTCTTGCTTCTAAAATTCTGCCCTCCAAATAGAAATAGGGTCAACATGGTAGCAAGAAAGAAAACAGCACTCTACAATTCTCATTTAGCTGTTTTCAGTCACTCAAATGCTATTTTTTTTTTTTTTTTTTTTTAGTACTTCTCAGAAGTAACAAAAGGTACTGAATGCCATTCTCCTTTCTTTTCTTACATCAAGGCAAGGTGATAGTAAACATGAACACAGCCAGAAAGACAGGCAGAAAAGGAGAAAGTGTGACAGGCAGAGGGAATGACCTAACTGAACTGACCTGGCAGACACTAAAAATTGAGAGCTTCCTGCTTCATAATGCATTGATTCCCTTTAAAAGACAAATGGGTGTCAGGGCTAACTACTTTTTCAGTCCTTAAGCTTACCTGTTAAGGCACTTACTTAACCCTCCCCACCCCACCATATAAAAACCACTATTTCACTTGAATGCATTTTTGCTGAGTTAATGGTAATCTGCAAAACAAAAGAAAAATAACATTGACCATTTTTTTAAATATAAAACTGTTGCATCAAGAGAAAGGTTGTGTTTTATTTTCTGATATGAGCACAAAGTACACCTTTCACAATTAACACTGAAAGCAGGTGCAAAGACTTGACAGTGACCTTTGACTAAAGGTAGCTTTGTAAAAAAAAAAAAAAATACCAAATAAATCAGTGCCCTTTCTGATTGTTGTAAAACGGGAAGGGTGCGGAAAGGGGTTGGTTGTTACATAAAAGTTGGTCCAAACTTACAAAAAAAGCACAAATGTGCATAGTTCAGAAGATCTGCAAGAGGGTCATAAAAACATTATGTCCCTAAGATTAGCATCCACTTAAAACTGCAAGAATACAAAATAAAATTGTTAACTAAAATTTGTGAAGATGTACAATCAACAGAGCTAGTTTTAAGAACAGCATGAACTTAAGAGCAAAGGTTTTTTTTTTTCTTTTTCACTATTGTATGCAAGACCCTTTTCCACATAAAAATAAAGCTGTTGTTGAATTAATATTATTCAAGTCTCTTGGATTGCTGCCTGAAATTGCAGCTAGAAAAGTCTTTCCAGATAAAAATGATGTGCCTGAGGAAAAACAGATACTCAGTATGGTAACCCTCTACCCCGACCTCTGCCAGCTGATGTGCTAATGTGTCCCCTGTAGCCTTGTGAATACCCAGGTCCTTGGGCAGGAGAAGTCCAGGTCTGTCCATGCATGAGGCTGGGGCCGCCTGGATTTTCCTGTAAATTACTACCATAGTTATAATTGTGCATCTTTGCTGGCAAAGGATGAGTACTCTCTGGCCCTGTGGAAGGGTCATTGCTGTTTGTCAGGACTGCAATAGGACCGTGGCTATATTCAAATCTATGGTCCTTATCTCCACTAAACAACATGGGACCAGCATTGAGGTAAATGTCTCCATATCCAGCCACTGAACTGGGAAATGACTCGGAAAAGGCAGAAGGTTGAGGTGGACCACCAGGATGAGATGAAGCAGTACTGTAGTTATCCAAAGATTGAATATCTGAGTTTCCAATGAAGCTACGTCGTTCCAAAGGTGCAGCTGCAGAACTACTTCCTAGACCATCACTGCTAACATAAGGAGCAGAAGAGAAAGAAGATCCAAAGTTGTCCTTATAGTCTGAGGTGGGTACGTAAGTGTCTCCTGTGGGATAATCAATACCAGCTTCTCTTTTGGGATCATCCTGGGGCTGATGCTGAGCAAGCAGCTGTAACAGGGCCGCCTTCACTCCAGCATGAGGGTCAGTCAGTGAAGAACTAGTGGTAGGTACATGCTGGCTTTCTGTCCGATAATCCAGGTCCTCCTCAGTGACTGGTGGTGGCTCAGGAGGTTCAGGAGGCCGTTGATCAGGAGGCAGAATCCGAGGCCGGTCTGACTCTGGTGTCAGCTCCAATATCCTTCTATCCTGGTGCTGGATGAGGTCATCTTGCCCTAAGTGAAACAAAACCAAAAAAAGTCATAAAGCTACCATGGAGAACTAAATATTCAAAGTAATCACTGTTTCTTTTGAGTGGGCCCAAAGATGGTCAGAAGTTCTACCTCTTCACAAGTACTAATGTTGGTTACTATCATTTAGACAGAAGGTAACAAAAATCTGCCGTTTTCAGCTTTTCAAAGGTACTTCACATATTCCTATTTATTGTTTTAGGAACAAGTTACTATGTATGTAACATTTATCCTTTGATCAAGCATCCTTTTGTATTTAGAATAAAAGATTATCATAGGTATATGTTAGAAAAATCTGTTGATTTCATAATGAAGTCGTGCTCACATGGATAATTTGCTAAAGAATCTATTCCTAGGAGTGAGCAGAATAGGAAACCAACTTGTCACCATGACCTGAGAATTTCTGGGATGGCTGTTTGGAAACAATGCACATATATAACCACCATTACAGGAACACAGCATAAGCACAGCTATGTTAGCAGTCTAATATCTACACACTCACCAGATACCGGCGTGCTGGGTTCTGGAGGTGGTGGTCTGAGTTGTAACGGAGCTTCATGTCCTGATCCATTTTCCCTTTCTTCTAGCAGCACATCTTTCTGTTTTGACTGCTGAGCTTTTATTAACTGAGTCAACAGAACTGCAAATGCACTCTGTACAGCAGCCTGGGCAGCATCAGTTTCCACCTTAGGCTGGATGGTCTGAGAAGGCTGAATTCCTCCCAATGGTTTTGAAGACTCCTGTTGTGGTGTTGATGGATCTGTCTGTTTTTCACCTGTTGCCAAAATTCCAGCAGGAAGGTTTATTTTATTTAGCTGCTGTTGAGTCTCAGAGTTTACCTTAATGTTCAACACTTGGACAAAATCAGCCATATTAACACTTGTTTTAGACTGTAGTAGGTTTAGCAGAATTGCCAATTCACTGTGGTTTAACTGCTGTCCAGGGCCTGTTATTACTAAAGACAAAATTTGTATTAATTACAACTGCCGTAATTCATAGCTCCACCCACCTCCCACAATGGCTCCATGGCACTGTATCAGAACTTGAGGGAGTGTTCCAGAAACAATATGAAAAGGGAATCTCGGTCTATTAATCATTATGCATTCAAGATATAGCTTTGACAAAAGACAAACATAAAAAAAAAAACTATTTCAAAAAATTCATCTTTAGGAGCAAATTTTTTTTTAAGGGAAATCAACACTATACCAGACTCCCATGCAGAGTCAACCAGGACATACATTGTGGATGGTAAATAAATAATAAGGCATTTTCTAAGTGTTCTGTGGCCTTTATTCCTCATAACTACCTTATAAGGTACTCTCATCAGCCTAAAAAAGACTGAGTAACTTGCCCACGGTTACAGATTCTGAAATTTAATTTTGTATCTAGACTCGTGAGCTCTTTATTATGCTGTCCTGGCTTCTCAAAACTGAAGTTAACTGTGCAAAGGATCTTCCTTTTCAGAAACTGAAACGAATTCATTCTGCAGACTATGAGGAAACAGCTGTTTTTATTTTTAAAAATTCAGTCATTTTGAGTAACTTAAAAAGATCTACAAAATAACCGCCTTTAGTCACAGCACTCTGGAAGTAGAGGCAGGCAAATCTCTGAGTTCAAAGCCAGCCTGGTCTACATAGTGAGTTCCAGACCAGCTGGGGCTACAGGGAGACCCTGTCTCAAAAAGACCAAAAAAAAAAAAAACATATACATGCTTACAAAAAATATGTTTACGACATTCATATATGATAGTATTAGCTCATCAATAAAATGCATTGAGTCAATTTTCTTTTTCTAACTTTCAGTCTAGAATTGGTCTGTTTAACACAAGTTTTTATAAGCTCTTATCTGAATCATGCGTAACAAATCCCAAAATCCCAAACACGTACAGTATTTTCTATGGCAAATGATACAGCTGACAGACTGGTATAAAGGAGACTTTTAAGACAAAATTGATTACTAACGCTATTCATATTCACACTGTTTCATCTTTATGTATCTGCAGATACTTTTCACTAATTCCTAGTATGATTAATTCAAAAGAAATCTTTGCAAATTCTTATAAAAAAGTCCCATTTTCTTGCTATACCAAGAGCTATTTTTCCTCCTCATTTCTCTATTAGCAGAAAGTGAGAGATAAGAAAAAATCTCATGGAAATGGTTCTCTTGCTAAAGGGGAAATTCTCTTATTTGAAGGCATTTACTAATGACGGAGAGAAAAATGGAGCAAAAGAGAATCATTTCTATTTCCACAAATTTCTCATTTGTTTATAGTGCAAGTCTTCATAGAGTAAGATAACTACCCTCTATTTTTCTATCCTTATTACTAGTCTCCATATTGTCTTGTCTATTTAGGACAACTATTATCTGGGACAGCTGACCATACCATCTAAGCTTCTTATTGCTGCCATCTCACATTGTCCTTTAGCCGTAGAGAGTAAGACATATGACATCAATACAAATTATGAAAATATACTATTGCATCTTTTGTTTTTACCAAATTTTACATATTTTAATAGGAAGTATATGATATAGATTAGCCCAGTAAAACATGTTCTCTAAATAGTGTCACTATTTTTACGTGTAAGGAAAATTCATTCTTTCAAAAAAATGTAAACAACAAATAATTGCTTTTTGTTTTCACAATACGTGGATAAACCAAGGTCAAGGATAAGCTTGTAGATTACATGAGCAAGGACTAATGGCAATCTTGAACTCAAGTATTCTCAGCTAATCTCTACACTTAACACTCAACCACCAAAAGTTTGAGGTGATTCTGCTTAAAAATCAGTAATCAACATTTCCTCATATTTCAATAAGCGCTGGTCTAATTTTTTATATTTAATAAACCTTTACACTTACACACATTTGGTTTCAATCTCTAGTCAGAAAAAAAAAACTGACAGTGAATGTGTGAATGTTCCTGTTTTTTTTTTTTTTGAGAGAGAGTGTCCTGCTGTCCCAGAGCTGGCCTTTAAATCTGTAGCCCTTTATCTTGCCTCTGCCTCTGAAGTACTGGGATTACAAGTGTTCAGCCACCATGCTCAGCACATTCCTGGATTCTTGAGGGAAAACGATGAAACCAATTTCATGTATTAAAAGCTGTGAACTTAAACATCCATAGACACTGAGTGTTGTAAACCTCACAAGAGTGTAGCAAGGTAAAAGATAAATACTACTGAACTAGGGAAACAAAGGAAAAAAAAATTATACCAATTACAAGAAGGTGATTTGAGATCGCTTAAGAATGTTCTGCCTAGAGCACTGGAGCCTTTGTGCTGGCAAAACAAAGCAATGCCAAGATCACTGAATAGACTTATTTTGCCACAAGATGCTTTAACAGTATAATGAATAAACACAACATAAACCACAAAGCAACACAAACAAAACCCACGTAAGCATTACTGACCAGGAGCTATATTCGAGTTGCCTTGAGATTTCAGTTGTGCAGGTGGCAGTACACCCTGAGGTGTGTTAGCCCTGCTGTCATCCAAGCCCAGGGACAATTCCTTTCTGGGGGCTTTAATTGTGGAAACATCATCAGTCATGCCCATCTGTTTCTGTCGTCTTCGCTTTTTACTCCATAATTCATGACAATCTTGCCATAAAGGAAGGCTGAAAAAGACAAATGAAAGCTTGTGAATGCTGTACAACATAAAGTACCAACATAACTACGTTCCACTAAAGCCATTCCCTCTATCACAATCACTCATGGAGACTTCAGGCAGACCTGGTGGAACTCCACCCCACACTCCATGTCTCACCTACTTCAGGGCTCTTATCTTTAGAGATGGACTGGTTTCCTTTTATCTGAGAATTTCATATATGCATATAATATGTTCTGATCAAGTCTACATACTTTCCCTTCCAGTTCCTCCCCTCACTCTCACCTTCCTCCCAACTTCATGTATTTTTTACTTCGTAAACCCACTGAGTCCATTTAGTGCTGCCTGTGTGTGCATGGGTGTTGGACCATCTACTGCAACACGGGCAGGATCTCAAGGGCTGCATCCCTGAAGAAAACAGACTCAGCAGTCATCAACTGCCAATAGAGTCTCAGTTCGAGGTGGGACTTCCTGACTACCTCCCCCCTCCATGCTGGGATTTTGTCTGGCTTAATCCTGTGTAGGTCCTGAGCTGTTGTCACAGCCGCTATGAGTTCCTGTGTGCAAATGCCCTGTTGTACAGATGAACTATTTTTCTTTTCCCTTCTGAATAACAAATAGTTGTCAAAATTAAGAATACATATTTATAAAGTTGGCCACCATTTTCCTTGGTACAACCTTCTAAAGCCAATTCCTTCAGCACATCATACATTGAACAGGATTTGAAAAAGGATGGAGAAACATGCCATTTGCAGAAACCAGATATAAAATAAAAGGCTAGAATGTGACATTCATGAAAAGCTTTCTAGCAAAAGCTTTTCACTTAACATTTTACTTGCTACTATAATCAAATGTTCCAAAGTAAACGGATTCTATAGATGAGTTTCAAGAATAGGTAATCCAGGCACAGAGTTCTGAGTAATTAATAACTACCAAAATTGCCCACAATTCTGAAAAAAAATTTATCTTAATATAATTTTGTTACACTAAATACTAGAAAATAAGCTTGCTTAAAGACACAATACTTGACTTACAAATGCTTTCTTACCCTAATTATAATATAGAAACTTAATTTTATCTAGTTTGGAGTTGAGAAAATAAAGGCTTGGAAAGGTTAATAAACTTGCCCAGAATATCTAGATTCTTTTAAGCAATGCCATCTAATGATATATACCTGCTGTCCTCAACCTGGATGTTTACCTCAAAGGGTACATGGAGACTTTCCAAGAGTGTAGCTGGGACTGTTTTAAGGGAATTTCCATTTCCACATGTCCCCTTTTCTAAGATTGAGCTGTGAGAATGGCCTGTATGTTCAAGAAGTTCTTTCACACCTCTTCTTTCACAATTACTTTATCTCATAAAATAAAGGCATATGCAACAGTATGGTTGAATCTTAGCAATACAGTATTAGGAAAAAAAAAAAGTCATTTCCACAAGATTACAAACAGCATGACACCTTTGTATAAAATGAAAAACTACATTCTTAAATGTAATTTTTTTATGAATACATACAGATGGCAACAGAAAGTATATACAAGAGTAAGGAAACAGGGATGATGGTTACCTCAGGAGAAGGCAAGGGAATATGTGGGTAGGAGAAAGGATTATGATATGATTAAGTTATTTTCAAGGCTCTAGCTTTTGCTTGGTAGGTTCATGGCTGCTTATTAACATTATTTAAAATAACTGAGGTAACTAAAATAAATAAAAGAGAGCCATGCATGGACCAATGATGAGTGACACAAGGATTATGATTGAACCAAGTCTATGCACCTGAGGTCTGAAAACAAAACAAAGGCATACCTCTCAGCCATCTTACTATGGTGCATTGCCTCAGCGTGTAAAAACCTCCTGGAGTAACAAACAAAGGGACAATTTGAAATATTGATACTGGGAAGATTTAAGGCATCAAAAACCCTCCAAAGACTTTCCTTTCTGGGTATGTGTGCATTTTATGACGTGGGACTTAGCCTCTGTCGGGACACTGATTTCAGGTATACTGTTAAAGTGTAAAGTGGGGTAAATAAAGTGATTTCACCCCTTCCATTCTGATAGTAAGGAAATGTAATGCTCTTGTGGAAGACCCTCTTAAGAACAAAGGAATTCATGAAAAGGAAAAGGACTTTTGTTCCCTCCCACAATTTAAAGATTCATTACAAATTAACATTCATCTATGGAGGATAAACATCACCTTACATAAATGTCTACAATGGTACTGGTTAGTGACACTGATTCTCCAGATAGATCAGGCCTGTTTTCCAGGTAACCAAATCTACATGATTCTTTGAAGGCTCAAATGCTGGCTCTGTCACTTCTTTGCTTGTCAGGCAAGTAACTTGACCTCTGCATCTCAGTTTCCTTAGTGTGATAATACCAGTCTCATGGGGATAGAGGTAATACATGCTAACATTCTCAGGGCTTGGTCAATGCCTCTCAAATAGTTAATACTGTACTCATGTTTGATATCATTGATCATTAATCAGTATGGTAGTTTTATCAAATCATATCAAAATATTTATTACAATTACTGATGATCACATTACTGTGCAAGTGTTTAATGCTTATTGTTTAACACGTGCACATGTGTCTGTGTGTGTGTGCATATATGTATGTGTGTGTACTGCCTATATGTATGATGTAAGTGCATCCCTGTCGTGCAGTACCCACAGAGGTCAGAGAGGGCATAGGCTCCCCTGGAACTGGAGTTACAGATGGTTGTTAGTAGTCATCTGGGTGTTGGGAATCAAACCTGGGACCTCTACAAGAGCAGCCAGTGCTCTTAACCACTGAGCAATCTCTCTAGGCCCTGTTTAACAATTTTTATACTGTCAATAAAAAATAAAATTATAGACTAATAGCCATCTTTTTAGTTAAACATACTTATTTTTAAATTATTTTTGCTTTTGTTTTGCTTACACATTTGTAAGAGCACCATGTGTGTGCAGTGCCTGTGGAGGCCAGAAGAGGGCATCGGATCCACTGGAACTGGAGTTATGGACAGTTGTTAGCCACCATGTGGATGCTTGAAACTGAACTCAGGTGCTCTGCAAAAGCAGCCAGTGCTCTTAGCCACTGAGTCATCTCTCCAGCCCCATACTTATTATTCTTAACTATGTATATGTGTGTCTGTGTGTGTATTTCTGCACTGGCTACAGTGTCTGCAGAAGCAGAGGTGTTGAATCCCTTGGAGCTGGAGTTAAGGGCAATGTGAGCCAGCCAACATAAGGTCCTCTCCAAGCACAGTTCATGTTAAGCCACTGAGCCATGTCTCCAGCTCCTGTATATACTTAATAATTTTAGCCACTATTACAGACTATTATAGAATATACAATGTTATATGTTGTTTACATGATTTTTAAAATACTGAATCAAATGTTATTATATTACCCTGACTATACTTTAGTGATGTATTTAAGAGGATCTATTCCTGGTTCACAGAATGTTCCTGAAATGAATTACTAATGTCTGAGTAAGTTTTCAGTTTATATGGTTTCCAACTCCCTACTCTCACAAGACCTACAGTAGAAAATAATTTTCAACTGACCTCTAAAAGGTCATTAAAATAATTTTTTGATAAAAGACTTTAGATATTTAAGGTAGAAGCAGTCCAAAGACAGAGAGATATAGCTGTGATACAAGTTCTTTCAGTCTCAAACACGTATTTCCAAGTGTGCCCACAAAAATAAAAAGCAAACTGCAATTAAAGTGGGACTCTTTCTATAGTAAGTAAATATTAATCAATAGCATGCAAATTACTTGGAGGAAAACATCTCAGCTTTATTATTTTTAGACTGCATTTCCAAGCAAAATCACTAATTTTTAAAGCAACAAAATATGCACTACTAATACAGCATCATACCATATATTAATATTAATGCTTTTAAATTAAATTTCCATTTATATACATACCTTTGTTTTAAAGAATTACGGCAACAGTTATATTAGAATAAAAAAATGTATAGGAGTAATGGAAGTTCAAGAAGAAAGAGGAATAATGTAACTGAAAGGCTTTGATATTTAGACTCCAATGAATACATTTACAAGATTAAAGAAACTTCTCTACATAAAAATGTTAATTCATCTAATTAGCAAGTTCCATGTCTGTTAGGGCTACAAGGAGTCCTTGCCTTAAAAAAGTTAATTTAACATTCACTGGTTATTGCATTTTATTCAACTTGTAAGCTTGATTTTTAAGAGCTTAGGTATCAATTGAAAATAGGCTTGATACAGTTTTACCACATCTTATATAGATTAAATTATTAGAATCAGCACTACCAGTAACAGAACAAAGTCATACCACATTCCTGCTGCCATGCTCCATAAGGAGGAAGCACCTGCTACCATGCAGGTAGTATTCTTGCACTGAAAAACAATCCAATCTTGATCACAAGAAATCAGTCTGAAGCCTGAGATGTTTTGCCAAACACCCATCTTAGGCTCTTTCAAAAAATGCCATCGTTGGGGTTAGAGATGTAGCTCAGTGGCTAGCATGTGAGGCCCTGGGGTTTGACCCACAGCACCAAAAAAGAAAAGTCAATTATCAGATAGTAACCAACATGAAAGAGATATGCTGGTTAAACACAACAGCTAGCTCAGATAAATCTTTTATCTCCCCAAAAGAAAGTTTATAAAATCTTACTGGGCTACTGGAGAAACATGACTATGAATACGGACTAGCAGGTACTGTAATGTTAACTTCTTTATAATGGTAGCAGTTCTGGTTTTGTTTTCTAAGATTTATTTATGTGTATGAGTGTTTTGCTTATATGTATGTAATTGCACCATGTGCATGCAGTGACTGTGATGCCAGAAGGTGGCATCAGATCTCCTGAAACTGGAGTTACAGATGGTTGATAACCACCGTGGTGCTGGAAACTAAACCTAGGTCTCTGGACAAGCAGTAAGTGCTCTTAACAGCCGAGCCATCTTTCCAGTTTCGGTTCTTGAATATTAGATTGTGTCAATAAAGACAACTAATTCTTTAAAATTTTATAAACAAAGTGTGTCCACATATCACTATGTGAAGGATATATGAATTATCATTTTAATACTCTTATTTTTCTGTAGTTAAAATTTTTCAAAATCAGAAAGTTTAAGTAGGGTACTAGAATCAAACTACTTGGACACTAATGATCTATACTAATAGGAAAAATAAATAAATAAATAAACCTAAGTGACAATCCAATAGTGACTTAGCTAGGTGTGGTAGTGCACACCTATAATCCCAACACTCAGGAGGCAGACAGGAGGATCTTAAGTTCAAAACCAGGCTGGGTTACATAACTGGACTGAGTCACCAAAAAAAAAAAAAATCAAGAACAAAACCAAACAAAAAACCAGTAAATGATTTGCATCCCTCTGCATGTCAAATGGTAGTTACTTTTGACTTTGAAACTACCCCATAAAGGTCACTTACATACAATTCAATAAAAATCTAAAGAAGCTGAACATGACAGTCTTGTGGAAATAAATTCCATGTAACTGATAAATGGGAGAGCCAGGATTTGAACTCCAGAGCCCATGTTTATTCACAAAAAATATGTGGATTTTATCAGACAAAATTATTATACAGATAGGTTTGTTTTTAATAACAATGCTCATCATGTAAACAATTACTAAGAAACTATCTACAAAGACCCTATCAACAAGAGGCAAATGGACCATCTTCTTCACTCCTCCCTAAATCAATTCTGGAGAAATTCTAGGAGCTCTGAGAAGGTTCTAGGTATGCTAATTCTCCAAACTATGCATTTTTCCTTCATATGACTCATCCCACATGTCTCTGATACTAATAATCTTTTAAATGATGGTAAGGATGTCCTATCTTGCAGGATGTCAAAGAATTATCTTCATATTATTAAACTAACTTGCATTTGGGAGCTGGCTCCACCCTTTACCATTATTTGCATTCTTGGGCAAGTTTTTTAACCTCTTTGAGCCTGCTTCCTCCTCTGTAAAATGGTGATGAGGATAATACCTACCTTAAGAGGATTATAAAGACTAAGTTGGCATAGCACTCAAAATTTTAGCTAAACCAGTACCACTAGTAGCTTAAGTTCTCACATAAGTGCTCTTCCAGCAGCAAGTATTCTTATTCTTAGAGGTGAAATACATTCCTACACTCTGGAGATACAGTAACTCTACATTAGCTAGAGAACAGCTATGTTTGCTAGTTCTACGGTAAGCTCAACAATACGTGAGCATCTCACTCTTGGTGTGCAAATATGTGTTTTTCTATCATTTTATTTATTGCTCTCAGTTTCTCTCAATTTAACCAGGCATGGAATACTTCTGATTACAGCTAATTACAAAGGCTAGCAAAATTTTCTAGGTTCTGTATGTCAACTCCAAAATAACAAAAAGTGACTTACTCTGGTGGAGGCATTTTGGAGGGTTCCACATCTCGTAGGAATTCGCACTGAAGAGCCTGCTCAGCAGTGCATCGCTTACTGGGATCCAAGGCAAGCATGTAATCAAATAAGTCGAGTGCAGCTGCAGGAATACTAGCACGAGAGGATTATAAAAGTCATGTATGTTCTTCAGACACAAGCTCAGTGCTTCTTTGGGAGCTTACTTTAAAGAAAATTAGTCTATATCAAATTTAAAAATTAATTAAAAATTATGTTTGAATACCAACTGCTTTCCTCCCTGTTTAGATCTTAAATATCCATATTACTTTGGTATTAGTCAATTCCTATTATAATTTATATAAAGAATGCTATAAACTGGTAATTCTGGGTGGTAAACATTAAAAAATAATTTAAGTACTGATGAAATAGTATTAATTTTGACAGTATTCTACCCAAATATCAAATTTTTCTTTCAAGAAATACTTCATAGCCAGGCATGGCTATGTATGCCTTTAATCCTAGCACCTGGAGACAGGTAGATCTCTGTGAAATCGAGATCTACATACAAAGTTCCAGGCCAATTGGGGCTACAGGAAAACACTGTCTCAAAAAGAAGAGAAAAGGAAAGGAAAGAAAAAAGGGGGCTGAGAGCTAGCGAGATGACTCAGTGATTAAGAGTACTGGCTGTTCTTGCAGAGGACCTGAGTTCAATTCCTAGCACCCATGTGGAAGCTAACAACTGTCAATAATTCCATTTCCAGGGGATCTGACACATCTTCTGGCCTCCATGAGCACTGCATGACACAAGTACACTTATATCCATGCAGGCAGTACACTCATACACATAAAAAATAAAATACAAATTTTTAATAGTCAATCATTTGTACATAATTTTGGGACAATTTAGGATACAATAATCTATTTTATTACTCTATGGGCAATTTGCTGTTATAAATTCAAAAACTGGATTAAAATAAAAGCTACGCTCATTTGAAAGCTATCTTAATACAATTTAAAACAGTATTTTTAAATAAATTCTTTCATACAAACACCAAATAAAGCATAAGACCCAAATCACTAATTCCACAAAGATAGTGAAAGGTAATTTACTTGTAGCAAAGGGAAACTCAAAATTCAGCACTCTAGAAGAACTAGAACTGCAGTTTGTCAATCTTAGGTCAAGGACAGAGTGATACATAGAATACATTAAGAAATGACTTTCTGAGCTGTGTGTGCTAGGTAGGCATCCCTGTAATTCCATTAAGCACTTGGGAGGTAGAGGTAGGATTCAGATTCAAAGTCACCCTTTGCTACATAGAGAATTCAAGGCCAGCCTGGGCAAAGTGAAAATGCAAACAAACAAAGAACCCCTACATTCAACACCCTCCCCAACCCCAAACCCTAATGATTTCAAAATAAACTTTCACTGCAATATAGATATTTAAGCATCCCTTCCTTACAAAACAAATTCTTCTCTTAACTTTCGGCGATACTGCTTCTTTGGTTTCATGGTGTTGAAATACGGTAGTTTGATTACATCAGGCCACACTGCAGGACATGGGCTCCCACAAATACGGCTAAATGCACAAAGAAAGTACAACATCATTATCAACTACATAGGAAAACTAATACATACAATAGTTAAAAATAACGCCAACTCAAGCCAGGAGTGGTAGCACATGCCCTTGATCCCTGCACTCAGGATGCAGAGGCAGGCAGTTTGTGAGTTTGAGGCCAACCTGGTCTACATATAATTCCAGGCCAGCTGGGGCTACAGGGAGATCCTCTCTCTAAAATAAATAAACAACAAAAAAATCAATTCATTGTTAAGGACTCAAAGGCCTTGATCTTATATGTTTAAAATATTTTAGTCCTGGGGCTGGAGAGATGGCTTCGCAGTTAAGAACACTGGTTGTTCTCGCAGAAGACCCGGGTTCGAATCCCAGCACACACATGGCAGCTAACAACTGTCCATAACTCCAGCTCGAAGGGATCCGATGGCCTCTTCTGTCCTCTCTGGGCACTGCATGACATGGGTGTAATTACCTACATGCAGGCAATACACTCATACACATAAAAATAAAACAAATTTTTAGTCCTAATTTAATTAAAAAATGATTTTCAGCAGATGCAATCAAAACCCTAAAACACGGGTAACATTCAAAATACAAGACCTGTGTCTTAGATATCAGCAAATTAAGAAAGCTACAGTTCACTATGTCTCATCCTGGTTTTGGAGTGGCTAGCATGGCCACCTCCCAGTTAGATAAGGTAGCCTTACAGTACCAGCAGAAGCCAATTTCCTAGCTAAGAAAGAAGGAAAACTGGCAAGACTGCCACAAGGGGGCCATAAAGGTAGGAATCTTAAAACAGCAAAGTTCTTAAGTGTAAGGAATGCCTCTGGTCACAGGTATTTATACTTTTAATTTCTTTCCGCTTTTTTTTTTTTTTGTCTTTTTGAGACAGGGCCTCCCTGGAGACAGCTGTCTGTCCTGGAACTATGTAGACCAGGCTGGCCTTGAACTCACAGAGATCTGCCTGCCTCTGCCTCCCAAATGCTGGGATTAAAGGCGCGGGTCATCACACCCGGTTTACTCTCTAATTTTAACTTGAAAGTCATCACTAGCTTGTTCTGTATTGATATATCATACAAGGAATGCGATACACAAATAGGTTACCACAGTGGTGAACACTGAAAAACTAGCTTAAGTACTGGTGAAATGTTGATTAAATTATGCTTGAGTATATATTATTTATAAACTGTTAAGGCTTTTATAAAAAGAGAAAATGTGGACATATCACTGACAAACTATTAGTGCCTTATTTTATATATATATAAAACACAATTTTCAAACTCCTCAAACCTCTGCAACATTCAGAGCATGGGCAGTATGAGATGATCCTAGGGACCACACCTCACTCACGAAGCTGCCTCTCATCTAATCAGCTCTTTCCACAGACCAGGCCTTCCTGTCTGTGCTTCTATTTCTTCCTAGATTCTATGCAGCTCCAGCTGAATCCTCATCACTTCTTGAGGTTCAGGTCAGTTATTCAACAGTCTTCTCTATTCCCAAATGCTACTCAGAATGGATATTCTTTGCATGATTTTCACACCTGTTTCATCCTGCTTTGCATTTCGTTGTATACATAGCTGCTTCTACTACATTATGGTTTAGAAACTATGTCTCATTTTTGCACAGCTACACAAATATCAGTAATAAGTCTCAGGCGAGCAGAATGGAACACATCAATAATAATAGATTGTATTAGAATAGAGGGACACTTCCAACTGCAGATATAAGAAAATTTAAGGTAACGATGAAGATTTTTATTATAATTCCAAGGATAAACTATACATAGATGGGAAAGAAAATGAGAGTATGTTACAGGCAGAGAAAACATAGGCGAGGGCATGAAAATAACAAAGAATAGAAATCCAAGAGGAAGACTAAATAAATCAGTGTAGCTAGAATCTAACCAGTTTAGGGAGGTGAGCTGGAAGCACACAGACCTGGGGCTACAAGGTCAAGTTTAAAGACCCCCTTACGAACCCATTAATATAGGCAGTCTCTGAAAACAAACTTTAAATCTGAATCCTGTCTGTGGTCACTTATCACATATACAACTTAGGAATCTGTAAGACTGGTTAATTTTACTTCAAAGGTATGAAATGAACTAGCATCTGCCTCTTAGCATGATAAACATGAGGTTTTACTCAGCTAAAATTTTAATTATTTTATTGTTAAGTGCTGTTGGAAGATAACTAAGGACTAAAGTTACCTAGCTAATAGTAGCACACAAGACAGGACAAATACACAGACACAGGGAAAGTTGAAAGAAACCAGAGGCAAATAGGAAAGCAATTGGTAACTGTATAATAATAGTCTGTACTTTGTAGCCAGCCATCCAGATATACTAAAGGTACCTTGTAAGACATTGTATGTTAAAGCATGTGCTAAGTACTCAAATATCTGAGGTCCACTTGGAAAATCTACTAAGTTAGCCTATTCTGTTATCAATAAATACCAGAGATCTTTGTTTTTGAAAGGCTGGCAGAAGAAACTCCTCTATCCAGATATACTGAAGTTACCTTCTAAGACACTGTATGTTATAGCATATGCTAAGGTAACTAACTCCTCAACTATTTGAGGTCCACTTGGAAAATCTACTAACTTAGCCTATTCTGTTATGAATAAATACATTTCTAATGATCCTCCTGAGAATTTGTGTGTACATGCATAGAAATGTGCCACTGTCCATGTGTGGAGTTCAGAGGTCAACTTGCAGAAGTCGGTTCTCTCCTTCTACCATATAACTCAGGCAATCAAGCTTGACAGCAGGCACCTTTACCCACCAAGCCTCTTGCTGGCCTTCAGAATTTTTTGATACATGAATTCTAATTAGTACTCTCTTAAAAGACAACTTTTTCCCAAAGTATGCATATGGTATGTATGAGTGCTTCTGTGTAAGAGACTGTCTTCTTCAATCATTCTCCATGGTATGTATTGAGGCAAGATCTCTCACTGAATCTAAAGCTTGCCGATTCAGCTAGTCTGGATAATCTAGCTTATACCTGGAAAACTGGGATCACAGATGAGTCACCATACCCACTCAATTTCTTACATGGGTTCTGGGGACCTGACCTTCCAACCTCATGCTTGCAAAGCAATTTATCCCTGACACATCTCTCTCGCCTTAAAAGAAATTCCTGACGGGACCCAACTGATGCTCTAGACTTTTAAGCTTTATATTTCTATCCTAGAGTAAGAGCCTATTTCCCTCAGTTTATGTATTTTTTTTTTCCAGTGAGACTTTGTGCTTAACAGGTTTTTTTTTTTTTTATGTTTTTCGCTCATTACAGTTTTTATAAGCAGTTAATTAGGAAAACTGTATAGGAAACAGTCAAAAGCATCCTAGACGTTACAGTCCCAAAGCTTTAGCACCTGAGGCTTTCCAGATTTACAATCAGTAAGCATATACACATACACCCATATCAGGCGTCCCCCAGCCCCGTCGCAGTGCTGGGGCTAAAGTCATGTGCCACCACGCCAGACAGGTGTATTACATCATGTGGTAATTAACAATGTTAAAGTACTGGTGATGGCACACATCTCTAAGGTAACTTTAGTTTCAGATTTTAATGGGAATGCTTTGCTGTATGTCTGGGAAAGGTGATTTTTGGTTTGAGAAATGCAGAATTCATAATGAAAGATATTCACAAGCATAAAAATTCCTAATATTTCAGTATCTCCTATTAAGTTGCTCATTGAGCTGGGACTGATGGCAGATGCCTTTAATCCTAGCGTTCGGGATCGGCGTGGCCTGGTCTACATCATAGCCAGACCAGACAGAACATAGTGAGGCCCCATCTCACAAACAAAAACCAAGGGGGGGGGGGGAATAGAAGAAAGCAAAGAGCTCATTTTAACTACAGGTTTTCATTTTTTGTGGCATTTCAATTTTAGAAGGACTTCTAATGCTATAAATTATATGAAGAAGTTTCCTAATGTCTAGTCTTTATACAGGCCAAGCATCACTTGGGCCAAATAAAAGGAACTGTTACATTGCAACAGTTTGTAATACTTTATTTTCTATTTGTTAATTTAGATGTTTTATATCCGTATTCACATGAGACTGACAAACAGCAACAGTTCTCACAACTGAGGTCCAGGTGCTAGAGAAATGGCCTAGTGGTAGACCCAAGTTTGGTTCCCAGCACCCATTCAGGTGGCTCATAACAACCTATAGCTTTACCTCCAGGAATCCAATGCTTTCTTCTGGCCTCCAGGGGCACCTGCATAGTTTTTGTTGTTTTTAAACTGCTGTCTAAAGACCTCTGTACACCCCTGTACTCCAGGGACCTGGCAGGTCCAAATTATTTCTAAGACATTTGCCCTTTTCAGTATGTTAGGTTGCAATAATGGTACAAAAATAATGGTAGAGGGCTGGAGAGATGGTTCAGCAGTTAAGACCACTTGCTGCTCTTGCTGAGGACCTGGGTTTGATTCCCAGCACCCACACGGGTGGGCAGCTAACAACCATCTGTAACTCCAGTTCCAGGGGATCCAATACCTTTTTCTGACATGGGGGCACTTACATACATGCAGGGAATACACTCATAAAATAAAAATAATTCTTTAAAATTATTAAATCCTAATATTGGGGCATATAACTTTGCAATGTGCTCTCAGATGAAATGAGAAAGTTATAAAGCTCTCTCTCCTCTCCACCCCACACCCACAAATATGATCGCTCATGTAAGGAAAAATACTCATGCAATGTGAAATTCAAGCTGAAGTTGCTGATTTTTTAAAATCTAAAAACAGTAAAATATTGGAACCAGGTGTGATGAAGCATGTCTTTAATCCCAGCACTCAGGAGGCAGAGGCAGGTGGACCTCTGTGAGTTCAAGGCCAGCCTGGTCTACTTAGTGAGTTCCAGGCCAGTTGGGGCTACAGGGAGACCCTGTCTCAGAGACAAAAAATAAAGTAAAATAAGACATTAGTCATTAAGACCAGGGTGCCTAATATTTTCTCAAATACAATAAAAATTGGCCTTTTGCTTCAAAGACAACAGTTTATTATAAATTATAAAATTCTAAATTTCAAGGAAAAATCAGAATACTGAAAAGCCTGCACCCACCACCGCGAAACTGATGGCTTCATAATACTTAAAAGCTTTCCTTGGGCCTGGATAGATGGTGCAGCGGTTAAGAACACTGGTTGTTCTTGCAGAAGACCTGGGTTCAAATCCCAGTACCCACATAGCAGCTAACAACTGTCCATAACCTCAGTCCCAGGGGATCCGACAGCCTCTTCTGACCTCCACAGGCATTGCACAACATGGGTGCACTTAACCAACATGTAGGCAATACATGCATAGACATAAAATAAATTTTTTAAAAGTTTAAAAACAAAAGCTTTTCTAATAGTATTAGTGCTAAGAACAATTAATAAATTTGAAAGAGTTGCTCATTTAGTGCATCAATATTTTTCAGATGACCAATAAATAATGTCACAAAGGTCCATTGGGTACAAAATAGGCCAGTGGGCTTCAATATAGTATGATAGTCCTTCAAATGAATTCAGGTTGCACATTACAACCAAAATGAAAAAACCACCATTTATCTAGTTTCTGGATACTTTCAAAAAGAATATCCACAAGTCTCTTCCATAAATAAACCCCACCTATGCTCTGTTAAAAAAATATTTTTAAAAAGATCACAGAAACCCCCTCCCACCCCCCTAAAAAAGAATATCCACAGGTATCTGAAAAGATGATTGTAAATAACTCATCTCAGATGAGGATCCCAGTGTGATTTTAGACATTCCAAGTATATAATATACTCATCTCACCAATTTTTGAGAAAATACACTTCTTGACACTAAAAAGGTTATGTTCTACTGCATTAAAATTACTGACAAATATTTTTAATTTCCAGTAAGTTAACTGTCAGTAAATACAACCAACAAAAAGGCTCTAGAGATCTTCGATTTAGACTGCAAAGAAGTTAGGAGACCATAAAGATTGAGGATTGAGAAGCCTAAGTCTACATAATAATTTGCTATTACTTTTAGGGGTTATAGATGATTGTTAAAAAAGTAAGTTTTTCTGTAATTCCAGCACTTGGGAGGCAGAGGCAGGAGGATCTTTTTGAGGTCGAGGCCAGCCTGGTCTACAAAGTGAGTTCCAGGACTGCTGGGGCTACAGGGAGACCCTATCTCAAAAAAAAGAAGAAGGAAGGAAGGAAGGAAGGAAGGAAGGAAAGCTTTGAGATCAAAGCCAGCCTGGTCTATATAGTGAGCTCCAGGCCCACTGGGGCTATAGGAAGACCCTGTCTCAAAAAGACCAAAAAGAAAAGAAAAGAAGAGAAGGGAGGAAAGGGGAGGAGAGGAGAAGGAAAGGGAGGGGAGGGGAGGGAAGAGAGGAGGAAGGGAGGAAGGGAGGAAGGGAGGAAGGGAGGAAGGGAGGAAGGGAGGAAGGGAGGAAGGGAGGAAGGAAGGAAGGAAGGAAGGAAGGAAGGAAGGAAGGAAGGAAGGAAGGAAAAGGTAAGTTTTTGAAGGGCCAGGTGTGGTGGTGAATACCTTTAATCTTAGCACTCAGAAGGCAGAGGAGGCAGATTGAGATCAAAGCCTGCGTGGTCTACATAGAGACTAAAAGGAGACTGTTTTAAACAACAACAAAACAATCTTTCCTTCCTTTCAAGCAATACTGAGGCTATTCCTTTAAGTTCTTAAAATCTGTACTTGTATAAACCACCTAGAACTGAGTATTTATGTATCTTTAAGTAGGGGTGGGAAGTCAGACAGACAGAAGCAGATTCTTTAAATTTGAATCACTTTTAATTCATTACATGATTAAATCAGTTTATTTCATAAACACATACATTATATGATATAAAAGGCTCTCTAGCTGGCTGCTACAAGGCTTGGAGTTAAATGAGAACTTTTGTCTATGCCTACATAGAGACAATTTTTGTCCTCGTTATCAACATATTTTATTTTTTTCCATCACTTCTTAGTCTATGCTACCTTTATCACAGGGCTAGCAATCTGTCTAAAATACTTAAAATCTTAAACAAAGCAAATTATAAATAATCAGTCATTATACTTTAGAAGTCTTTAAAACAGATTCTGGTTAATATTCCCACTCTTCATCAGTTTTTTATGTTTTTACACAACACTGATCTTACAGATAGCTCATGCTTGACCTTTTACCTGAACAAACAATGCAGCATCACTCCAAGTAAAAAGGGGAAGAGGCATGTACAAGGACAGACTTATTTCACATTTCTTATGTCCCTAAGCATGCTATTAGCTTTATTCTTTGAAGAAACAGATTTACAGAATAGAGCTTATCCTATACCACAAGAGCAGGAAGTATCTAGACTGGCATTTGAATTCAGGCCCAGACCCTTCAAACATACTTTGCTGTTGTCTTATTGCACTCAGACATTATTGTTTAATCCCAATTTCCTTTCATAGTGCTTAGAAAATACCGTGGAATCAAATTTTATGAATATTATATAAATATTTAACATCGGAACCAAAACACACTGATATACATAAACCAGAAAGTGAAATTTTCCTCCTTAGCATTTTCTTAAGTCAGTATTTAGATTAGATGAACAATTACACGCCCTTGATATTTTACCTAAACGGGATCAAACTTTAAGTTGTGCTTTGTATGCCGCTTCTGTATCACTCTATCAAAAACTAAATAAAGATAGGATAAACCACTATTAAAAAGACTGAAACCCCCTAGCCAAAGTAGTACAATATGCTGCTAAGTGGATGGACTAAGCTGTTTTTCCCACTATCATTCACTAAGTAAACACATTCATAAAATAAATCAAGGATGCTCATGTCTCAGGGTCTTTAATAGCTTTCATGAACCTCATGCAAACGCTATCTTGATGGATCCCTTTCTTGGCCTTATGTAGATGACCTCCCATCACTTCCTACTCCCCTAAATTTAATGCCACCTGATATATTTTAAGTTCTTCATTTTTAAGTATGTGAATGAGTGTTTTGACTGTGTGGATTTAAGTGTACCACGTAGATGCAGTATCCACAGAGGCCATAAGAGGGCATCAGACTTCTGGGAACTAGAGTTACAGATGGCTGTTAGCTGCCATGTGAGTGTTGTGAACTGAAATTGGGTCCTTCTAAGGTCATGCAATGCTCTTAACTAAGCTCTCTCCAGTCCCAGCACTTGATATACTTCACCAATATGTTTGACGGTGTCCATTCCCAACTATTAAGTAGAAACACTGGGCTTACTCTTTCTTGGACTCCATGGCATTCTCAGTACCTAGTAAATACCACACAACCAATGACAAATGAACAGTTTATGCTAGTCATGGTGGCACATGTCTATAATCCCAGCATTAGGAAGGCTGGAGGTCAGCTTGCTCTACAAAGTGAGTTCCAAGGTTAGCAACGACTTGATACCATCTCAAAAAAAATTTTTTTTAATTGATGCATTAATTGATGCCTTCCATAGTCCGTATTAACTTAATTTTTAAACTTCTTAAACAACTTTTTGATTCAAATATATATTGTGCCCAAGTAGCTTTGTTGTAATTTGGTTTTAACAAGTTATGTCAAATTCTCCATCTTAAGACCTTTCCTGGTTGTTTTCTTGGTTTTTTGTTCCTCCTTCCCAGTTATTTTCAAGTTTATCATTCCATAGAACAAAATCATCAAGTATCCAGTTTCAAAACTGTCTAGAAATTTTGGTTAAGAATTTTCTTATTGGAGGGGGAGGAGTGGGCATGGATTTGATAAAAAAAAAAAAACACCTTATATCATGTATAAAATTCTCAACAAATCTTTTTTAAGGTTAAAAAGAATACTTTTAAAAAAAAGAATGTTCTTATTAAGATGGTATAAAGAGGGGCTGAAGAGATGGCTCAGCAGCTAAGAGTGCATACTGCTTGTTTTCTATCAGATGGAGAAGACACCTGTAATTCTAGTTCCTGGGGATCTGACACCTCTGGCCTGGAAGGGAACCTGCACTCATGTGCACAAACACAGTCCCCCCACACTTACATATAAAATATAAATGTGCACTTACATGCAGCAACCCTCATATATAGTACTTTTTAAAAAAAAAAAACAAAATATAGCTCTCAAAAAAAATTTAAGGACACATGGTTTTCAGTACTCCTGGGGCATGCACATTGGTCATTTTATTAGCAGCACCTCCCCCAGTCCCACTGTATTTTCTAGCTGGTTATTAGTAATACATTTTTTAAAGTTTTTAAAGTTATTTTCAGTAGATTAGTTCATGATAAATACATATTACCATATCATGTGATTTTTTTTTCTCCTGTTACTTTACAAACCTTTATTCTGAGGTATTTTAGGTGTTTCTATGACATGTTCTGCATTTTCTTCGTGCATACATAAGCACTGTTGTCATAGACAAAGTATTTACAACTCTATGTATCACATATCTCTTAATGGTTCACTTTCTTAACACTACTAATTGAATTTATAAAACACTTGTAAACAGTAATACTAGAAATCAACCTCTTATTACTTTTGTCTTTAATATTTCACCATTAAACATTCTGGCTGTTAGTATTACACATTTTCATTGCTTTATCACCTTTTTATACTTAAGTTTATAGTCTCAGCAAATGCCTATTCAACATCTACCAGATAAACATATTTCTATTAAAATGAAAAATTGTTTAAAAATTTTCCTCAAACTTCCTTGGTTTTGTTTTTAGACAGTCTCGTTGTAGCCCCAGCTAGTCTGGAACTCACCATGCAGACAAGGTTAGCTGATCTCACAGAGATTGGCCTGCCTCTGCCTTCTGAGTGCAATGATTAAAGACATGCAATACCCAGCACAGCTACCTCTTTGCATTCTTATGATGATCTCTACTTTATGCTAATGCTCTAAATTTATTTTTAGTGTATTTTTATTCTTTGAGAGTTTCATATAAGTATATACTGTACTTTCATAATATGTTAATCTCTTAATGAAAAGCTGAATGCTATTTCCTCCTATCTCCCTTAGAAACTTCAAAATATCTCATGCCATATGTGGTGGTGCATGCCTGTAATCCCAGCAGTAGGAAGAAGAGGCAGGTGGATCTCTGTGAGCTCAAGGCCAGACTGGTCTCCACAGCGAATCCAGGTCAGCTGGGGCTACGGGGAGACCCTGTTTCAAAAAGGACCGCCCCCTAAAAAAAGAAATCTCAAACTATCTTTTATTACAAAATAGTATTTTTATTCACTGAGAACTTCATGCAATACGTTTTGATCATATTCACCTCCCTCCCCCATCTCCTCTCAAAACATCCACACCTCCCCACACACCCCTGTAGTATCTTTTTATAATTTTATTTACTTATTTTTATGTGTATGAGTGTTTTGTCTGCATGGATGTGAGTGCACATGTGTGTGCAATACCCATGGAGATCAGAAGAGCGGTGAACTGAAGTTATGGGCAGCTGTGAGCTACCACGTAGGTTTTGAACCTGGGTGCTTTGCAAGAGCAGCTAGGGCTCTAACTACTGTGCTCTCTCTCCAGACCCACAAAGTAACACCTTACAGAAATTTTTCATGCTGTCTTTTCCAAGTATGAGTGCTTGCATATATATGTATAAAGCTCCAGGAAGTTTTATTCCTTCAGAGTAAAAAAATGGTTAATTTAAATCAGTTTTCCACTTAGTGCTTGAAGGAACCTGTATAAATTCTTTACCTTTCTATGGCTCAGTTTTCTTAATCATAAATAGGAGACACTGAATTGTTATGAAGTCTGAGAAAATTCAGGAGAATTTTTTTTTAAATGTTTTATGTGTATAACTATTTTCCCCTTATAAGTGCAGCAGTGTCATGCAGTGCCTGCGGAGGCCAGAAGAGGGCATCAGATCCTCTGGAACTGGAATTTCAGGCAATTGTTAGCCCTGTGGATGCTGGAAATGGAACCGAGGTTGTCTGGAAGAACAGTAAGTGCTCTTAACTGTGGAGCCATCTCTCCAGCCCCAGGAAAAACAATGTTTACATTATATATAACCTATGATATATGAACTACCAGTGATAAAAGCCCCAGTATCCAACCATGTCAGGATTAATAGAAAAATAATAGGTTTAGAAGAAATCATATTAAAAGAAAATATTCAGATACATAATTTAAGCATTTTATTTAACTGGAAATTTCTAAGTGTCCATTTACTCTCTAAAAAGAGAATTCTATGAGTAGAATTCTATATTCTATCCTGTATAAACCACACCCCAGCACACCATTAAGAATACTTAGTCTTGAATTTATTTATTTTTGGTTTCTTTTAAATAAAGGTGGAAATTAAAAACATTTTCAACATAATCAGTATGCTAGATCCTTCTTTTATAACTTGTACTTTCCTCTTAAGGAATTACTTGCTCATCCTTAATTGTTCAGCAGTTGTTTTAAGGCTTCTGCAAAGCAATGCATCTGTCTATATTTAACTAAACTATATACAGCAGTACAAAAACTTAGAAACAGGGGAGACCAACCTTGGAGAGCTGAGCGCAGAGGGGAAAAAAAAACATTAGAAATAATCACCCTTCTCTTGATCCCATCCCTTAGTTGAATGGGATAGGTACCTTAATAGAAAGTCACAGGTTACTAACCCCATTCTATTAGCTTTCCATGTCACCAAAATATCTATGGAAGGCATGGTGGCACACATATTTAAGTCCAGCACTTGGGAGGCAAAGCCAAGTGGTTATCTATTTTGAGCTTAGTCTGCATAGTGAGACCCTATCTTAAAGAAAAAAAAATTAGGGAACAGTTTTGCATTATTTTGTAGGGGTTTTGTTTGTTTTGGGGGTTTTTTTTTTTTTTGGTCTTTTTGAGACAGAGTCCCCCTGTAGCCCCAGTTGGCATGTAACTCACTATGTAGACCAGGCTGGCCTCAAACTCACAAGAGATCCACCTGCCTCTGCTTCCTTAGTGCTGGGATTAAAGGTGTGTGTCACCATACCTGGCCCTTAAAGAAATTTTTCTCTCTAGCCAGGCATGGTGGCGCACGCCTTTAAGCCCAGCACTTGGAAGGCGGAGGCAGGCGGATCTCTCTGAGTTCAAGGACAGCCTGGTCTACATAGTGAGTTCCAGGACAGCTGGGGCTACAGGGAGACCCTGTCTCAAAAAGACTAAAAAAAAAAGAAATTTTCTTTTTTTTTTCTGTGTATGAGTGTTATACCTGAATGTATATATGGCACACCTATGTCATGCAGTACCTGCAGATGTCAGAAGAAGGCATCAGATTCCCTGGAACTGGAGTTACAGAGTTGTTAGCCATCATGTGGGTGCTAGGAATCGAACCCAGGTCCTCTGAAAGAACAATCAGTGCTCTTAACCACTGAGCCCTTTCTCCATCCCGTACTTGCATTATTTTGTTATGAAGTAATTTAAACATTACAATTAGTGGTTCCTGAAATGTTTGCAGGAATTTACATACTAAATATCAGGGCCTGGTACTTTTGAGTAATGTTTTCACAGTACTGTTTCATATATTTGGGTTTTCTAATGTGCTCTAGGGTCAATTTGGACAAAATAAATAATCTCATGGTTATTTCTATTTTCTTTATATCTGAGGTAATTTTTTCATTTTTAAATTTTATTTCTATTTTATGTGTATGAGTGTATTGCCTGCATGTATGTAAGTGCACCCGTGTCATGCAATGCCCACGGAGGTCAAAAGAGGACATCGGATCCTCTGGAGCTGGAGTTTTGGACATCTGTCAGCCGCCATGTGGGTGCTTGGAATTGAACCTGGGTCCTCTGCAAGAGCAGCCAGTGCTCTAACTGCTGAGCCATCTCTCCAGCCAGATATATTTGAGGTAATTCTATATTAAGATCTTTATTAAACTGTTTTTGTTCTCATGCCATTAACTTACAAACTGAATTATATTGGGCTGGAGAGATGATTCAGTGGTTAAGAGCACTGACTGCTCTTACAGAGGACCTGGTTTTGATTCCCAGCACCCACATGGTGGCTAAAAACTGTCCGTAACTCCAGTTCCAGGGGAATCCAACTCCTCCTGACTTCCGCAGGCACTGCACAACACAGGTGCACTTACACACATGCAGGCGTAACACTCATACACATAAAAGTATTTTAAAAAAACAAAATGAGTTATAATATATGTAAATAATCCCCAAACCAAATCAGTTTATGGAGAAGTTCCATACTTTTGTGTATTTCAAATCATTACATGTTTTTATTACCTAGGGTTTATTTTGTTGCTCCCTTCTCCTACTTGTCAGGTGAATGCTAACTTCATTGGTTTTAATTTTTTAATTATTTATTTATATGTATATGACTGCTGGCTGCATGTATGTGAGTGCACCCGTGTCATGCAATGCTGCAGGGGTCAGAAGAGGGCTTCGGATTCCCCTGGAACTGGAATTAAGGACAGTTTGTAGCCATCATGCAGGTGCTGGGAATCAAACCCAGGTCCTCTGCAAGAGTAGTCAGTGCTCTTAACTGCTAAGCCATCTCTCCAGCACAGTTTTAATTTTCTTACTTAAACTGTAAAGCCATTTATCAAGAATGTGTTCTACGAAATGTGTCAGTAGGTGACTCTCATTGTATGAACACAAGAACGTGTATTTACATACCTAGATGGAGGTCAATTTACTGATTTGGCTTCTTGATGTAATCAAGAGGCAATAAACATGAGTTGTATGAAGCTGCTGCTGCAGCCTTAACAACACAGTTTTACAATAAACATTGATTTTTAGAGTACAAAACTAGGGGCTTAGAGAGATGGCTCCATGGTTAAGGGCACTGACTGCTCCTGCAGAGGACCCAGATTTAGTTCCCAGCACCCACATCGTAACTAACAACCATCCAAAACTCCAGTTCCAGGAGAATCCAACACCCTCCTCTGACCTCCGAGGGCACTGCAAGACATGGGTACACTTACATACATGCAGGCAGCACACTCATATACATAAAATAAAAATTAAAAATGAAGTACAAAACTAAACATATAAGCCAGCGTCGGGCATGGTGGCACCTTTAATCCCAGCACTAGAGAGGCAGAGGCAGGCGGATCTCTGTGAGTTCGAGGCCAGCCTGATCTACATAGTGAGTTCCAGGACAGCTGGGGCTACAGGGAGACCCTGTCTCAAAAAGACCAAAAAAAAAAAAGCCAGCAACACAGTATTATACTACCGTTGAGTTTCGTGTACTTAATGATTGCATGTGCTGTGCTTTCATCAGACTAACTCACAGCAGTGGGCTTCATTTGGCATCTGAAAGTATATGAGCAATCCTTGCAATTTAGGAAAACTATGGCTATCACTAGTTGGTGTCAATGTTTCTGCTTCAATATAATTTTATGGGCTCACCATTGTCCACAAAGTCTGTGGTTGGTCAAAATGACATTACTTAAAGCTGTGATTGTCTACAAAGTGCAACTAATCCATGAAATTTTTACATTTGATCTATTTCTTGATATTTGCTTGTGTTTTGGCAGGCGTGTGCACATGCCACATTGGGGCAGAGGTCAGAGAACAACTTTCAGAAGTGGATTCTCTCCTTCCACCTTGTGGGTCCTGAGGATTAACCTCGGGTTGTTAGGCCTAGTGGCAAGAGCTTTTACTTACTAAGCCATCTCACTGGCCCTACTGCTCTTTTTTCATGTATTAAAATTTTTTACACCCAAGAGACTTCATTTCCACCTTTACATTCCAACTTTATTTCATTTAGAGAAAATGCTCTGTGATTCCTTGAGAATTTGTATACTCTTTTTCTTGTAAATGTTCAAGTTAGCACTGAAAAGTATAACTCTTATTTGGGGGAATACAGGTTCTTCACTATTCTAGTTTACTTGCCTATCACACAATAAAAAAGGAAAAATAAAAGCTTCCTGTTTTGCCCGTGAACTCCCTACCTGCTTTGGTTTGTATGTGCTCCTCAAATTTCTTGTGTTAGAAATTTAATCCCAGAGTCACGTGTTAGTGGTATGATAGGTATAACTCCTGTAAGGTTCGAAGATCATGAAAACTCCACTGGTAAATGAGTTACTAAGGGATGGACTTTTCTGTAAAAGCCAGCCTCTTTGGTGAGCTTATTCTGACTCTCCCTCTGCCAACTCAAGACTCTGTAGCATTCCCTACTAGCAAAACAACCTCATCATATGCAGCTGCTCAATTTTCCACTACCAGCCTTAGGATCATGAGCTCAATAACTTTAATCTTTATAAATGATCCAGCCTGTGGTATTCAGACAGTAACAAATGGAAATGAACTGAGACTCCTTTCTCTGTGTATATTCATTCGAAGTTCTGTGTCTGGATACCCCTTAGTCAAGTCTGAGATTTATGCTTCCATTTTGTGAGGCAACTGGTCGCTCTGGAATTCAAGCAATGCTGCTTTCTGGTTTAGGTGTTCCTGATGTAGACAACTTATCCCCAGAAGGAAAAAAAAAAAAGGCTCTGAATTACCTTTCTTTGTTGTACTCTATAGCAAAAGAAAAAAAATTCTTACCTAAACACTATAAAGAGCAATGTTAAAGTTTTGGGGCTTTGGGGGTTGGGAGAGAGGGAGAGATAGCCAAACTCTAATACAGCAACAATCTTCCTCAAAAAGCAGACTGTTCATCCTCAAGATCTTCTTTTTCTTTGATTAAAGTGTTCTCTTTCTGGGTGATATCTTTCAAAGTTGGAAGATAAGTTTGGCATCCTTCTCTGATTATTGCTTGTTGCTTCATGTTCGTTTTGTTTAGTTAGGAAAGCATAATTCTGCAAATGTGTCTTCTTCCAAATTCATTCCTAAAATACTTTCTTATTTTGAAACTTTCATGCGAATCTTTTAAGTTGTAAGTTTACATTATACAGAAAATTGATCCTCCCCTTTATTTTATGTGTATGAGTATTAACTTGTATGCATGCAAGTGCACCACATGCATACAGAGTCTAGAAGACAGCATCATATCCCCTAGAACTGGAATTAGACAGTTGTGAGCCATCATATGTGATAACCCAGGTTATCTCCAAGAGCAGCAAGTGCTTATAACCCCTGAGCCATCTCTCAAGTCCCCAATATCCCCTTTTTAAAAAAGTAGAATTTGAAGCTAGATGTGATGTCTTATACCTATAATCCCAGCACTTGGGAAGCTAAGGCAGGAGGACTTCTCAGAGTTCAAAATCAGCCTAGGCTACATAAGCTCAAAGGCAGCCCTATTCCCCCTGCCCTGCGGGGGATGGGGGAATAGAAAAAAGATGCAAGATCAAGAGGTTTACTAACATGTATGATTAACTGTTTATAAGCTATATCCTATGAGGGCCTACAAATAATGAAGATAATGAAGACAAATGCTAAGTATGCACATGTACTCTGGTATGCACACATATGCAGTTACATAAACATAAAATGGAATATTTAATCATACATTCTCATCTATATTACACATCCTTTTCCATCCTATCAAAGTCTAAGTCCTTTGAATTAATCCCTCTCTTCACCACAAAAACATCAAAATAAACACTCGAACCAACTCCTTTTAGATTCTTAATTTTACTGGAACAAGAACCACAGGGCCTGCATTCTAGTTTCTGCTCTGTTTAGCAGTCATTAGACTTCAAGAGAACCACGTTGTTCTTCTGAAAAGACAAGCTTGAAAAACAATTTAATGTCCTGTGGAGCATGACATCTCCCATTTCCAAAAATATTATCAATAGCTTACCTTATTAACTCTAACTGTGCAAGTTCCTGGTTTGCTTGGAATATAGGCTTTTTAGTGAAGAGCTCACCAAGGATACATCTAATGGGATAAAAACACACACATATATATATATCATTATCAAATTTTTCTCATTTTAATTCACTCTTTAGTACAATAGGCCAATGAGACTATCTTACCCACAGCTCCATACATCAATAGCCGGTGTGTATCGTTCTTCTCCCAAGAGCAGTTCAGGTGGACGATACCACAAAGTAATTACCTTGTTAGTATACGGTCGACTAAAAAGAACATAGAAAGCACTCCAGAGTTAGCATTCGTTAAAGAAATTCTCTTAAAAAATACTATTTTGTATAATGTTAAAGAAATTTTACAATCTTAATTAAAACTACCTCTGGTTGATTAATAAGCACAAATATACTGTAGTATTTAATATGTGATCATAAAATACAGTGCAAGCAGCTAACAGAAAAATTCCCTTCACACATGAAAATGAAAGCAAGTAGCAGTTAGCTGTTGCTAACTTTAATTTGGTCAAATCAATTGTTGAGTAAGGCTTTCCCTTTCCCTTTCCCTTTCAAAGCAATTAACTAATTCATAAAACAATGGGTGATTTTTTGCCAAATCTAGAAAACTACTAAGTAGCAGTTTGTTGCTCAAATTGGAATTGCCTAACAAAATGACTGTTTTGTTTGTGCTCCAATAATTGAGCCCAAGGTATCTCATGTACTCAGCAAGTGCTCTGCCCTGTCTCCTGGCAAAATTTTTAAACTACGCATATCTTTGACAGTATTTAATTAGTTCTAACCCACTCTGGTTTGTGAATAGAAAGATGTAGACTATGTACAGTAGTTGGAAGTCTAGTTTACCTACTACCACAAGCGACAAGTATACGTTATCAGAAAACTTCTTTGTATCTTCCATAAAGAGAATACTTAATCTAGCCAAGTAGTAGTAGTGATAACCATTATCACAGTATAAATTTAGCAACTACATGTTTTTAGACGTCAGTGAATGGTCACAGTCTACCTGATTTCTATGAATGATGATGATCTTAAGAAATCAAAGATCTATGATTAAATTATGTACTTGAGTGATTACATCTTTATATCAATTATAAACCTCTTTTTACATGTCTTCCAAATTAACAAGGACTGAAAGAACATAGGGGAAATTGCCCAAGAAGGCTGTACTCCAAGGCCAATCACCTGAGATTAGTTGCATCTGGACCCATTTGGGGAGGAAGAAAAAGAACAAACAACAGAAATTCCCTCTTAGCGAGTATATTATCTGAACAACATAAGATCTATCTGATCTGCTCTGCCCCAACTTGGCCAAATTTCTCTAAACATTTTGAGTAGTAATACTCAAAGTTATCAATTTGGGCATCAGAACATTACAAAAGAAAGGACTATATTAACGGTGATCTAAAACCAAAAGAGCCTTCAGTTGACTTTGGTAAAAACTAAGAACAAAGAGACCCTAAAATTCTTCCCTCACTCCCCTAACAGGGTCTCATTATGTAGCCCTAACTGGCCTGGCCTCAAACTTGCAGTGATTTTCCTACCCCTGACTCCTGAATGCTGAGATTACAAGCAAGCACCACTATTATCTGGCTATGTTATCTTTTCTTTTGAGACACGATCTCACCATCTAGTCCTGACTAGCCTAGAACTCACTATGTAGACCAGGCTTGGCCTCAAACCCCCAGAGACCTTCCTGTTTCTGCCTCCTGAGTGCTGAGATTAAAGGCGTGCACCACATCATACCCAGCCCAAGACTTTTTTTAATTTTTACACCTGTTTTTCTGTTTGAGACAGGGTCTTACTATATAGTCCTGGCTAGCCTCAAACTTGCTGTGATTTTCCTACCTCTGACTCCTGACTGCTTAGGATTAAAGGAATATCAAGCCCAGCTTGTATATTTTTCTGGCATCACTTATCCTCAC